GGGGGTGTCTTGGGAAGGGATCAGGGAGGGGTCCGGGGGGGTGGGGAGCTCTCAGGGTGTTCTGAGGGGGATTTTGGGGGTCCTGGGGGATCTGGGGGGGATTTGGGAAGGGGTCTGGGGACTCTCAGGGGGTCCTGGGAGGGATTTTGGGGGGACTCCTGTGGGGGTCTCAGCCCCCCCTGAACAGGGATTTTAAGGGGAGGTGGTACAGCAGGGGCTCCCCCCGGTTTTGGGGGGGGGTCTCCCACCGTGCCCCCTCCCCAAAAAGCTTCCAGGGCCCCCTGAAGTGGCTCCTGTTCCACCGGCCCGTGCCCCCCCTGATCCAGGATGGCCCCCAGTGAGTCTGGGGGCTTCGGGGGAGTTTTGGGGACGTTACTGAAACTTTGGGGAGGTTTTTTTGGATTTTGGGGGGGCTTTATGGGGATTTGGTGGGTTTCTCTGGGGTTTTATTGGGATTTTTTTGGGGGGTTTTATTGGAATTTTGGGGATGATTTTGGAATTTTAATGAATCCTCCAAAAAAAAAACTTCAAAATTTCTCAAAAAAAAAAAAAAATTGTTTTGTAACACGCACTAAAATCTTGTAATTCTGTCCAGAAAACAAATAATTTCATCTAAAATCCCCTCAAAAACAAAGTCCCCCCAAAATGCCCCCAAAATGCCCCAACCACCCCCAAAATCCCCCCAAACCAAAAAAAAAACCCCAAAAATTCCTTCAAAACCCCAAAATCTTCCCCCAAAAAACCCTCTAGAATCCCTCCAAACCAAATAAAGCCCCCCCAAAACTCCCTTCAAACCCGCAAATATACCCCAAAATCCCCCTTAAAAAGCTCTCAAAAATCCGCCCAAACCAAACAACCCCCCCCCCCCGAACTCCCTCAAAACCCCAGAATCTCCCCCAAAATCTCCCCAAACGCAATCAAGCCCCCCCAAATCCCCCCGATGAGGCTCCTGCCCCTGCCAGGTGTGGCCTGGTGGCGCTGGCCATGGCGGGGGCGCTGCTGGGACCCCCCCGGCCCCAATTGGGTCTGGGGGCTCTGCTGGAGACGGCGCGGGCCCGGGGCTACACCCGCCACGGGGAGATGTTCTCAGGTGGGGAGGGGTCCTGGGACATTTGGGGGATGTTTGGGGGGCACTGGGGTGGGGGCCGGGGGGTTTGGGGGGGATTTGGGGGTGATTTTGGGGGGGTTTGGGGGGGTCTCAGGTGTTTCTGGGATGATTTGGGGAGGTTTCGGGTATTTTGGGGTAGTTTTGGGGATGGTTTAGGGGGTATTTTGGGCTATCTAAGGATATTTTGGGATTTTTGGGATATTTTGGGATGGTTTTTGGGGTATTTTGGGATATTTTGGGCTGGTTTTGGGGGTATTTGGGGAAATTTGGGGTGGTTTTGGGGGTGTTTTGGGTACTTTGGGCTGTTTTTTAGGATATTTTGGGCTACTTTGGGGTTCCAGCCGCCCAGCTGGCCGCGCTGGCCCAGGAGCTGCTCCCGTGCCGGGCTGAGCTGCTGCAGGGGGGGCTGGGGGGGCCCAACCTCGGCCGTGTCCTGCGGCACCTCCAGAGGGGCCACCCCCTGCTGGTCCCGTATCCTTGGATTTGGGGTCTGGGATTGGGGTCTGGGCCGCCCCCTCCTCATCCCGTATCCTTTGGGATTTGGGGGCTCCATTTGGGATTTGGGGGCTCACTCTGGGCTCTGAGGGCTCCCTGTGGGGTCCCTTTGGGGTCCCTGTGGGGTCTCCGTGGGGTCTCTATGGGGTCTGTGGGGTCCGTGTCTCTGGGTTGGGGTCTCCGTGGGGTCTCTATGGGGTCTGTGGGGTCCGTGTCTCTGGGTTGGGGTCCCTGACCCTGCAGTTATGACGAGGACAGCAACCACGGGCCCTGCTGCCGCCGCGGCCACAAGGCCCACTGGGCCCTGCTCAATGGTGAGGGGCCCCAAAACCCCTCCAAAAACAGCCCCTGACCCCCCCCAAAAACCCCTGGGCCCTAAAATCCACCAAAACCCTCCCCAAAAACCCCTGAGCCCTAAAATCCACCAAAACCCTCCCCAAAAACCCCTGAGCCCCCCAAACCTCCCTGAGCCCCAAAACTCCACCCCAAATCCCCCAAACGCCCCCTGAAATCCCCCAAACCACAGCCCCAAGCAGATCAGGAGGGGATTTGGGGGAGTTTGAGGGAATTTGGGGTGTTCGGGGGGATTTGGGGTCAGGAGGGGATTTGGGGGGGGGTTTCGGGGCTCAGGGGGTGCACAACGACCCGAGGAGGGGTCTCTGACCCCCCCTGACGCCCCCCTCTCCCCCCAGGGCTGCTCCTGGCCGTGCCCGCCCGGGCCCCCCTGGGACCCCAATTCCTGCGGGACCCCGAGGTCCCCAACGTGTTCCACGCGCGGGGGGGGGCGCTCCTTGGGGGGGGGACTCTGGCCGGGCCTGTGACCTCCCCGGGGCCGGGGGTCCCTCCTGGGGGGCCCGGGGAGGGGTCCCGGGCCCAGGGGATGTGGGATTTGGGGCGGGGGTCCCGGTTTGAGGAAAGGTCCCAGGCCGAGGACATGCCCGGATTTGGGGAGGGGTCGGGATTTGGGGTGGGGTCGGGTTTTGAGGAGGGGTCCCAGGCTGAGGGCACGCTCGGATTTGAGTTGGGGTTGGGATTTGAGGAGGGGTCGGGTTTTGGGGACGGGTCCGGGTTTGAGGATGGGTCCGAGGCTGAGGGGGTTCCCGGATTTGGCTCGGGGTCGGGATTTGGGTCGGGGTCCGGATCTGGGTCGGGATTTGGGTCGGGGGTCCTGGTGCTGGCGCTGCAGGGGAAGAGCCCCCGGCCCCAGCTGTGGCCGCTGGGAGCGCTCGGGGCCAGCAACGCCCAACTGAGCGAGCTGAGCCCCCGCAGGTGGGGAGGGGGCTTCGTGCTGCCCCCCGGGGGGCTGCGGGGCGGGCTGCGGGGCCGCGCCGTGCTGCTGCACCCCCTGGAGACCCCTCCCCAATAAAAATCGGCCTTTAGGGAGAGATTTGGGCGGTTTTGGGGAGTCTGGGGGGAGATTGGAGGGATTTGAGGGGTCTTAGGGGGAATTTGATGAGGTTTTGGGGAGTTTTGGCGGCATTTGGGGTGGCCCCGCCCCCGGAGAGACCCCCCCCCAATAAAAACGGATCTCTGATTTAATTCTGGGGAGAAACTGGGGAGATTTGGGGGGGTCTTGGTGGGGTTTGGGGGGACTTGGGGGAGATTTGGGGGGAATTTGAGGGGGTTTGGAGGGATTCCGGGGATTTGGGGGGGATTCTGGGGAGATTTGGGCGAATTCGGGGGAACTTGGGGGGGTTTGGGGGAATTTGGGGGGGGGTCCAGACCCCCCATTTGGGGGAGGGGTCGCGGCGTTTTCCCCCAGATCCGCCAGGGGGCGCCGTCTCGCCCCGAGTGGGCGCGGTCTGTGTGAGCAGCACGGCTCTGATTGGCTCTCGCTGGGAGGGGGCGGGCTCTGGGGCGGAGCCTTTAAGCCCGGAAGCGGCGCAAGGGCACGCGGGGAGCGCGGGAACGGAGCCGAGCCGGGACCCTCGGGCCCCCCCCCGAACCCCCTGAAGCCCTCCCGAGACCCCCCAAAACCTTTCTCGTGCCCCCCCACCTGCCCCCGAAACCCTCCCTTAAATCCTCCCCGAGACTCCCCCTCAAACCACCCCGTGACCCCCCAAATCCCCCCCCGGTGTGCCCCCCGATGCTGCTCGGGCTCTCCCGGGGATCCCTGCGGGGGTTCCGCCCCTCGGGGGCGCGGGACCCCCCCAGGAACCGGGACCCCCCCAGGAACCGGGACCACCCCCAAAACCGGGACCCCCCCCAGCACCAGGTCAGTGATTTTGGGGAGGGGTCTCCGATTTTGGGGAGGTCCCAGCTCTTTTCGGGGGGGATCCTGGCTTTTGGGGGTTCCTGGATTTTGGGGGGTCCCGGGTTTGGGGGAGTTTTGGATTTAGGGAGGGGTCCCCGGTTTGGGGCGGTCCCGGGTTTTGTGGTCCCAGTTTTGGGGGTCCCGGATTTGGGGGGGGGTCTCGGAATTTGGAGATCCCGGATTTCGGGGTCCCGGGTTTGGGGTCTCAGTTTTGGGGGTCCCGGGTTTGGGGGTCCCGGGTTTGGGGGTCCCGGATTTGGGGGTCCCTGACTTGGAGCCTCCCAGGGCGGCGCGAGGGGCCAGGGGCGCCCGGTGCCCGTGAGCAGAATGGCGCGGGCTGCGACCATGGGAGGTACTGGGGGAACTGGGACGGACTGGGAGCCACTGGGAGGGGATTGGGGGGACTGGGAACAGGAAATGCGGGAACTGGGAGCCACTGGGAATGGGAAATGGAGGGACTGGGATGGACTGGGAATGGGGGAACTGGGAGGGACTGGGATGGACTGGGAGTGGGAAATGGGGGAACTGGGAGGGTCTGGAGGGACTGGGATGGATGGGAGGGACTGTGGGGGGCACTGGGATTCCCAGTTTGGGGTCCCAGTTTAGGGGTCCCATTTGGGGTTCCCCAGGTGTGGCTCTGCAATTGGGGCTGGGGGCTTTGGCCAAGGCCGCCCGGACACGGCTGCGTGGGCAGGAGCGGCCGCGGGGTGAGTGGGACTCCCGAGACCCCCGTCCCAAGGGGGGAACCCCCAAATCCACCCAACCTCCCCCAGATCTCCCTGAAATCCCCCCAACACCCCCCAGACTCATTTGGGGGTCTCCAAAGCCCATTTTTTGGGGTCTTGCCCCCCCATTTTCCTCCCCCAGACCCATTTCTGGGGTCTCATTTCCCCCAAAACCCATTCTGGGGTCTCCTCCCCTTTTTTGGGGTCCCCAGCCCCCATTTCAGGGTCCCCATCCCAAATGTTGGGTCCCCTTCTCCAATTTTTGGGCTCTCCATCCCCAATTTTGGCCCCAGCTCTGGACCCCATTCCCATTTTGGGTCCCCCTCCCCAATTTCGGGTTCCCCTCCTCAATTTTCGGGTTCCCCTCCCCAATTCCATGTCCCCCTCCCCAATTTCCCCACAGCCCCGAGTCCCCTGCTGTCGGAAGCCTCCGCTGAGCGTTTGGTGGCCGCGCTGAGCCGGGCCCGGGGGGCGGCGCTCAAGCTGGGACAGCTGCTCAGCATGGCAGGTGCGAAGAACCCCCCAAAACCCCCTGGAAACCCCAAAAACACCCCCAAAAACACCCCCAAAACACCCCGGAAAACCCCCAAAACTCCAAAAAAACAGCCCTAAAACCACCCTTAAAAACCCCCAAATCCCATAAAGTTCCCCTAACAATCCCATAAATTCCCCCTAAATTCCTCCCAAGTTCCCCTAAAATCCTAAATTTTCCCAAAAGCCCTTTCTAAATCCCATAAAATCCTCCTAAAACCCCCCCTAAATCCCAGAAACCCCCAGAAAATCCCATAAATCCCCCAATCCCGACCCCTCCCCACAGACCCGGCCCTGCTGCCCCCGCAGCTCCAGCGGATCCTGGAGCGGCTCCGGCACCACGCGGAGCCGATGCCCGGCTGGCAGAGCTTCGTGAGCCTCCACGACGGCATTTGGGGGATTTGTGGGATTTTAGGGGAATTCTGAGGGGTCTGGGAGAAGTTTGGGGGGATTTTGTGGCATTTGGGTGGGGATTTGTGGGGGATTTTTATGGGATTTTGTGAGGATTTGGGGGGGACTTTTGGGGGATTTTTTTTGGGATTTTTTTGGAATTTGGGATCTCTGTCCCCACAGGAGGTTCTGGATGCGGAGCTGGGCCTGGAGCAGCTCTGGGAATTCCTGGGATTTTGGGGAATTTTGTGGGATTTTTGTGGGGTTTTGTGCTGTTTTATGATATTTTTGGCTAGATTTTTTTTTTTTAAATTTGGGAATTTTGGGGGAGGTTTGGGATCCCCGGCTGTCCTGGACCTGCAGCTGGGCCAGGCTTGGCGGAAACACCTCCAGGAATTCCCAAAATTCCCAGGATCCCAGGGGAATTTTGCTCTTTTACAATATTTTTGTCTGGATTTTGATGAAATTTTGGGATTTTTTGGGGATTTTTGGATCCCAGGCAGTCCTGGATGAGGAGCTGGGTCCGGGCTGGCGGGATCAGCTCCAGGAATTCCAGGAATTCCCTGTGGCCGCTGCCTCCCTGGGCCAGGTGCACCGGGCACGGCTCCGGAGCGGCGCCGACGTCGCCATCAAAATCCAGGTGGGGAAAACCTGGGAATTCCGGGGGAATTCTGGGGGGATTTGGGGGTCCCGGGGTGGGAATTTGGGGGATTCAGGCTGGGATTTGGGAATTCCAGGCATTTGGGGTGGGATTTGGGGGACCTGGGGTGGGAGTTTGGGGAGTTCGAGAAGGAATTTGGGCTGGGATTTGGAGCTCAGGGGTGGAAATTTGGGAATTGGGGATGGAAGCTTGGGAATTTGGGCTGGAAATGCGGATACCTGGGATGGAATCTGGGGTTCAGGATCGAAATTTGGGATCCTGGGGTGGGAATTTGGGAATTTGCCATTTGGGCCGGGATTTGGGATTCGGGGCCAAGTTTGGGCTGGAATTTGGGGATTTGGGCTCCCCGCAGTACCCGGGCGTCGCCCTCAGCATCGGCAGCGACATCGAGAATCTCCTGACGCTGCTGAGCCTCAGCCCTGGCCTGCCCAAAGGTCTCACAGTGCCCCAAGATACCCCAAATCACCCCAAATATCCCCAAAATCACCCCAGACTCATCCCAAATCATCCCAAATTCCCCATTCCCGTTTTCCCCCATCCCTGTTTTTCCCCATTTCCCATTCCTGTTATTCCAAATTCCCATGTTTTCCCCCCTGACATTCCCGTTTTTCCCATTTTCCCCCAAATTCCCGTTTTTCCCCAATTCCCCCCCCTGCATTCCTATTTCTTCCTCGACATTCCCGTTGCCGTTCCCAGGGCTGTTTCCCGCTCACTCCCTGCGGACTCTGCAGCGGGAGCTGGAACTGGAATGCGACTACGAGCGCGAGGCCGCCAGCGCCGCCCGCTTCCGGTAGGAATCCCAGGAATTCTGACGGGAATTCCGGCAATCCCAACAGGAATTCTGGCAATTTTGGTGGGAATTCTGGGAATCCCAGCAGGAATTCCATCAATCCCAACAGGAATTCCGAGAATTCTGGGAATTCCAGCAGTCCCGGTGCGAATTCCATGAATCCCAGCGGGAATCCCAGCAATCCGCCAATTCCTTTGGGGATTTTGGGTGGGGGGTGGGGGGGGTTACGGGATTTTGAGGTTCTTGGGGTGGATTTTTGGGGAATTCGGGATTTTTGGGATCTTTCCGGATCCACGCTGGGGTCGGATCCGTTTTTCTGGTTGGGATTTTGGGGGGATTTGGGGGTTTTGGGGCGTTTCCGGGTGGATGATTTTTTTGGGGATGCGGGAATTGCGGGCTGTTCCCAGGTCCCTGCTGGGCTCGGATCCGTTTTTCCGGGTGCCGGCCGTGGTGGCCCCGCTGAGCTCGCGCCGAGTGCTCTGCACCGAGTGGGGAAGGGGAGAGGCCCTGGAGCGCGGGCAGAGCCTCCCCCAGGAGCGGCGGGACCAGGTGGGGAAAATTCCGGAACTGGGGGAATGGGGGATTGAGGGCATTGGGGGAAATCGGGAATTGGGAATTGGGGAATGAGGGTTTGGGGATTTGGGGATTGGGAATTTGGGAACTGAGGATTGGGAATGAGGGAATTGGGAGTTTTGAGAGGTTTTTTGTGGCGGTTGGACCCCAGAATTTGGGGCTTTTTTGGGGGCAGGACCTCCAAATTTGGGAGGTTTTGGGGGGATTTGGGGATTTTTGGGGTTTTTGGGGGGAAGTTGGGGGAATTTTGGAGATGTAGGGAGTTTTGGGGGTGGGACCCTGGAATTTGGGGGAGTTTTGGGAGGATTTTGGGGTTTTTTTGGGGTGGAACCCCAGATTTGGGGGGCTTTTGAGGGTTGGGACCCCAAAGTTGGGGGATTTTGGGTTTTTTTTGGAGGTGGAACCCTGGAATTTGGGGGAATCCCGGTTTTTAGGGATTGGGATAATTTTTGGGAGCGGGGTCTGGGTTTCGGGGGATTTGAAGGGATTTTGGGAGGATTTGGGATGGTTCTGGAGTAATTTTTTTAATTTTTTGGAATTTTGGGAGGATTTGGGATAACTTTGGGGTCTTTTAATTTTTGGGGGAGTTTTGGGGACATTTTGGGGGTGCTTCCCAGCCTTTTTTCCCACATTTCAGGGCGACTTTAAAGCGATTTTTAACCATTTTCTCCCCGCTTTTCGGGATTTTCTTGGGACTTTCTCAGGATTTGGGGGGATTTGGGGGCTCCCGGATTTAACCCTTCGTGTCCCAGATCTGCTCCCAGCTGCTCCGGCTCTGCCTCCTGGAGCTTTTCCAGTTCCGTTTCATGCAGACCGACCCCAACTGGGCCAATTTCCTCTACGACCCCCAGAGCCACACGGTAAGCCCGGAATTCCCAAAACTCCCAGAACCTTCCGGCACCTTCCAGGGGCACTCAGGGCTGTTTGGGCGGGCTTTCAGGGGAATTAAAAGGAATTCTGGGGAGTTTTGTTGGGATTTTCAGGAATTTCAGGGGATTTTGTTGGGATTCTCAGGATTTTGAGATGATTGGGTGGGACTTGGGGGATTTTCAGGTTTTGGGGAGGATTTCTGGGATTTTTAAGGGATTTCTCTGGGATTTGGGGAGTTTTGGGGGGCATTTGGGATGGATTTGAGGGATTTTTATGAGATTTTGGGGGATTTGAGGGGGCTGTTTTGGAGGAATTTGGGGGGATTTTGGGATTTTTGTCAGATTCCAGGTGTTCTGGGGAGATTTTGGGGAATTTTGTAGGATTTTTGTGGGATTTGGGGTTAGGAGGAGTTTTTGGGGGCTGTGGAAAAGATTTGGGGGGATTTTAGGGGGATTTGAGGGAATTTTGCAGATTTTGGGGGGTTTTGAGAAGTTCTTGGGGGATTTAAGGAGATTTGAATGAGATTTGGGGGAATTTGTGGGAATTTTGAGATGATTTTGGGAAAATCGCAAAAGAATTTGGGGCATTTTGGGAAGATTTTGGGGGAATTTGGGGATTCTTGAGAGGATTTTGTGGGATTTGGGGCATTTGGAGAAGATTTTGGCAAGATTTTGGGATTTGGGGAGATTTTTGAGGATTTTTTGAGGATTTTGTTGAATTTGGAGAAGAATTTTGGGGGATTTGGGGCCGATTTTTCTGGGATTACATGGGAACCCCCAAATTTGGGGATTTTGGGGGATTTTGGGGTCTCTCCAGGTAACGCTGCTGGATTTTGGAGCCACCCGGGAATTTGAGCGGGAATTCACCGATCACTACATCGAGGTGGGAACGGAAAAAACAGGAAAAAAATGGGGGAAAATGGGAAAAAAAGGGAACAAACAGGGGAAAAATGGGAACAAAACAGGGGAAAAAATGGGAATAAAATGGGAAAAATGGGGAATTTTCTGGGGTACTCTGGGGGATTTTGAGATTTTGTGGGATTTGTGGGATTTTTCTGGAATTTCATGGGATTTTGAGAACGCCTGGGGTGATTTTTGTGCGGATTTTGATGAAAAAAGTGGGAAAAAGGGGGAAAAACCACGGGAATTTGGTTAAAAAAAGGCAGAATTTGGGAAGTGAGGCCAGAATTTGGGAGGAAAACAGAATTTTTGGGATTTCAGGTGATCCGGGCCGCGGCTGAGAGGGACGAGGAGAAAATCCTGAGGAAATCCCGGGATCTGAAATTCCTGACGGGATTCGAGTCCCAGGTAAAAAACCCCGAATTAGGGGCTTTTCCCCTCCCAGATTTTGGGATTTTCTTCGTTTCCCCCCGCCATTTCAGGGTTCCCGATTTGGGGGCCCCCCTGACCCCCATTTATTCCCCCCCAGGCTCTGCAGTCCCTGCATGTCCAGGCCGTGCTGCTCCTGGGGGAGCCCTTTGGGGGTCCCCAGCCCTGGGATTTCGGGGCTCTGGGGGGGCAGCGAACGGCTCGGGGGGTGCGGGGGCTGCTCCCCCAAATCCTGCGGGGCCGCCTGGGTCCCCCCCCCGAGCCCAGCTACGCCCTGCACCGCAAATTGGGGGGGGTCTTCCTGGCCTGCGCCCGCCTCGGGGGTCGCGTGCACTGCCGGGACATCTTCCAGGAGATCTACGAGAGCTACTGGGGCCCCCAAAACCCCCTAGTGGACCCCAAAATACCGGGGAGAGCCCCCGGAGCGGGGTGGGGGGAGGGGGAGCCCCCCCGGTGAGGGTGGGTGGAGACCCCTCCCCAATAAAGGGGGATTTGACCCCAAAATCGGGGCCGGGGTCTTTGATTTTTGGGGGATCCTGGATTAGAGGAGAGGCGTTTGGGGGGGATTTGGGGTGGGGGGAGCCCCCAAAATCCCAGGGAGTCCCCCCAGAGCGAGTGGGGGGAGAGGGAGACCCCCCCTTTTGACCACGGTGAGGGTGGGAGGAGCCCCCTCCCCAATAAAGGGGGATTTGACCCCAAAATCGGGGCTGGAGTCTTGGATTTTGGGGTTCCTGGGATTTGAGAGGTTTTGGGATTTTGGGGCCGATCCGGGGCTCGGGGTTGTTTGTGGGCGGGGTCAGCAGGCGGGGGTGTGGCTCATCTGCATATTCATAAGGGCTCCGTCCAATGGCTGCGGGGCCGTGGTGGGCGGGGCTCGCGTGTTTTATTTGCATATTCGTACGGCCGCCAGCCAATAGCGGCTGTGTTGGGCGGGGTTTTTTTGTTAAATTTGCGTATTCATGAGGCATCCAGCAGAACCTTCCTGGGCTGGGCGGGGGGTGGGTGTTATTTTATTTGCATATTCATGAGGGGGCGGGGCCTTGGCGTAAGGTTGGGGGCCGCGGACCCCGCTCCGCCCCAAAAATGTCCCCAAAAGCCCCAGAGACCCCCCCCAGTGTCCCCAAGGCCCCCATTGCCCCCAGAGCCCCCCCAGTGTCCCCCAAATGTCGCGAGTGTCTCCCTCAATGTCCCCCGTGTCCCCCAGATCTCTGCCGGGGAGGGATTTGGGTCAGGGATTGGGGTTTGGGGTCAGGGTTTGGGGTCAGGATTTGGGGTCGGGGTTTGGGGACCCCCCCGATTTTCTCCTTTCATCTCTCCCAATCCCTTTAAGCAGCGGCCGCGTCGAGCTCCGGAATTCTCCGGAATTCCATAAAAAAGAATTTCACAAAAACCGAAAACGGATCAGAACGGCACCAGTGGGGGAGGGGCCAGGGGATCCCGGTCCAGATGTGCCCAACCCCAGCCCATGTTTTTTCCCCAAATTCCCACTTTATTCCACTTTCCCCCCATTATTTCACAATTTTCCCGTTTTCCCCCATTTTTTCCCTATTTTTCCTTTTTTTCCCCATATTTTCCCTATTTTCCCCAATTTTTCCCATTTTCTCTCAGTTTTTCCTCATTTCCCTCTATTTTCCCCGCATTTTTCCCCCTTTTTCCCATTTTGTTGTTTCCCATTTTCACCCCAGTTTTTTCCCAAATTCCTCTGGGTCTTCCCCCATTTTTTCCCAAACTCTCCGATTTTTCCCCCATTTTATTCCGAATTCCCCCATTTTTTCTCAAATTCCCAGGTTTTCCCCCCATTTATTCCCAAATTCCTTGGGTTCTCTCCCAGTTTTCCCAATTTCCCCGGCTTTTCCCTCATTTTTTCCCAAATTCCCCCATTTTTGCCCTATTTTTCCCCGTTTCCCACCCAGTTTTTCCTAAATTCCCCTATTTTCCCCGAATTACCCCCGATTTTTCCCGAATTCCCGGTTTTTTTCCCGGGCCGGGCGGGGCCGCCCCCCCCATCCCAGCACCGCCGTTGCCATGGAAACCGCGCTCCCCCCCCCCCCCCCCCCCCCTTAAAGGGGCCGCGGCTACCGAGGGGGAATTTGGGGGTTTGGGAGGGGTCTCTGGGGGGATTTGGGGGGATTATAGGGGGGATTTTGGGTTTTATGGGGGATTTGGGGGGATTATAGGGGGGATTTTGGGTTTTATGAGGGATTTGGGGGGAATTTGGGGTTGTGAGGAAGATTTGGGGGGTCCCGGGGTGTTCCAGGGAGTCTATGAGGGGATTTTCGGGGAGATTTGGGGAATTTTAGGGTGTCTGAGGAGCTCTATTAGGGTTTTGGGGTATCGGGGGCATCCATAGGGGAGATTTGGGGGTGATTTGGGGAATTTTGGAGCGTCTGGGGAGGATCTGTGGGAGAATTTGGGGAGGGGAGGGTCGGGTTTGGAGGGTTCTGGGGCGCGGTCCAGGAGGGGATTTCGGGGGTCTGAGAGATCTGTGAGGGGGTTTTGGGAGTCTGGGGGGGCCCAGGAGAGGGTTTTGGGGGAAATTTTGGGAGAATTTGGGGATCTCGGGGGGTTCAGGAGTCTCCTCCTGGGATTCTGGGGGGATTTTGGGGGGTCGCTGCCCCCCAGCCCCCCCCCCCAGCAAGGACGGGGGGAGGAGGCGGGCCCGCCTTTTAGCCCCGCCCCCGGTGCGTGATTGACACTCCCTCCGCCAATCAGCGGCGCGCGGGGCACGTCGGGAGTTGTAGTCCCGCCCCCTCTCCCCCATTTCCCCCCCCGCTCCCCTCCCCTCCCCCCTCCCGGTACCGGCGGGGGCCCGGGGGCCCCCGGGGGGGGGGGGGGGGGGGGGGGGGGGGAGGGGCGGGGGTCCCGGCGGGCTCGGGAGCGCCCCCCGGGGGGGCTCGGGGGGAGGGGAGCGGGGGAGGGGGGGGCCGAACCCCGCCGCCCCCTCCCCGAGCGCGGAGCGGCCCCGGCGGCGCAAAATGGCCACGGCTCTGCACAAACCCCTCAAATGGTGAGTGGGGGGCTCCGGCACCGGCACCGGCACCGGGCACGGCCCCCGGCGCGGGGAGGGGCACGGAGGGGCCGCGCGGGGAGGGGGAGCAGGCTCCGGTACCGGCACCGGCAAGGAGGGACCCCCGGGACCGGCTGGGTGGGACCCCCGGTACCGGCGGGGATGGAGCCCCGGTACTGGAGGGGAGGGACCCGGTGAGGGTGGGGACCCGGTACCGGAGGGGATGGAAGTGCCAGTACCGGTGGAGATGGAGGTGCCGGTACCGGAGGGGATGGAGGTGCCGGTACAGGCGGGGATGGAGGTGCCGGTACCGGTGGGGATGGAGGTGCCGGTACCGGAGGGGATGGACCGGTGAGGATGAAGCCGCTGGTACCGGTGGGGATGGAGATTCCGGCATGGAGCCCCCGGTACGGGTGGGGATGATCCCCGGTACCAGCGGGGATGGAGGTGCCGGTACCGGAAGGGATGGAGGTGCCGGTACTGGAGGGACTGGACCCGGCAGGGGTGGAGGTGCCGGTACTGGAAGGGATGAGTCCCGGTACCGGTGAGGATGGGGCCCCGGTTCGGGCGGGGACGGAGCCGTGGCTCCGCTGGGGTGGAACCCACGGGGAGCCGAGCCCCCGGTACCGGCAGGGACGGACCCGGCGGGGATGCGGTACCGGAGGGATTGGAGGTCCCGGTACCGGACGGGATGGGGGTCCCGGGGTTGGGGGTCCCTGGGTTGGAGGTCCCGGTACCGGCAGAGCGGGATTTACCTTGGGGGACCCTCGGTACCGGCAGGGATGAGGCCGCGGTCCCGATCCCAATCCTGGTCCTGGTCCTGACCCTGTCCCAGTCCCGGTCCCCATCCCGGTCCCGGTCCCAGCCCCGTCCCAGTTCTGATCCCTGTTCCAATCCTGACTCAATCCCGGTCCCAGTGCTGGGCCCGTCCCAACTGGGTCCCTCCCCTCCGGTACCTGAACCTCCATCCCCTCCCGTCCCGGTCCCGGTTCTGACCCCGGCACTGACCCCGTCCTGCTCCCGGTCCCGGTCCCAATACCGCTTCTGATCTCAGTCCCGGTTCTGATCCCGATCCTGGTCCCAGTCCCGGTCCCAATCCCGGTTCTGGTCCCGGTTCCGGCCCCACCCCCGGGGATTTTTTGGGGGATTTTGGGGAGTCCCTGGGGGTTTATGGGGTTGGGGAGGGTCAGACCAGGCGCTGTCCCCCCATTTTGGGGGGGGGGGGTGGTCCGGGGGTTTTTGGATTTTGGGGTCTCCCCAAATTGAGGCCATGATGTTTTGGGGGGGGTCACAAAGGTTTTGGGGGTCCCCGAATTGGGGGTCCCACCCTGAGCCCCCCAAAAGGGACCGCGATGCCCTGGGGGGTGGGGCCCTTCTGGGGGGGGGGGGGGGCTGGGGGG